GCCAACCCCGCATTTGACAATTCCGCAAAGAGACAACGCAAGAAAGAGAGACAAATGTAAATTTGTGCGAAGGGTTAAAAGTTCGTCGTGCTGAGAAGACAAAATCATACATCATAAATATGATTTTTCCCCACTTGAGGAATAAATCTCCACGTGTTTGGGGTTGGATTTATGCGAAAACGATGGCATATTTTACAAAGAAGGGGCATCAGACACATAAAAAAGGGCAAGAAATACATGCGATATAAAGTATTGTGATTTCCCTCCGAAGGCTATTGTAGAACATTTGTAATCTCTCCTCTTCAGGAGCACCTCAATTCCCTCTCAGCCAGATTGAAATTTACGTCTTTGCATGTGTATTAAGGGGAGAGTCTCGGAATGTATGATGGTAATTCCATTACATTGGAATTAGTGTGATGTAAAATGATCGGAAAGCTTTCCTTTCCGAATTTATATATCGTTAATCCTGTTATGTCGACAGTCGCATTAGATTTAATTAAAATAGTATAATGAAACGAATTGCGTCACAGCGCACCCTTCGTGCCATTCGTCTCTGCTCAAGGTATTGTGATCGAGCTTTCAGAGCTTTCTCCAATACCTGTGAGCTTTTAATGTGTATTAGAAATCAAAGAGGTTCCAAAGATCATTTTGACTAAAATCACCGCCAAAACATCATCCAGAAATCATTGCAAAACGCTTTGTGCCTAGTTAAATCATCTTGCTTTCCCCGGAACTTTGAGCTTTCTCTATCACGCCTTTTTCTGCGTGTCTTTTGTCAACATTTGCGCCTTACTTACGATTAAATAAATCACCTCTGTTTAAACAGACTTCGATTCTCTAAGCTGCAGACAGAAAATGGGAGATTATTTACTCTGAAGTAGATTTCGTGGCCAAAAGCTCGCATCATAGAAATTATTAAAACAATCTGTCGCCGCCCATGAAGTGACTCAATTACAGGCTTTTGCTGATTGCCAAAGCGACATCATTACTATGAAGAGTGAGTGCAGAAGTGAATGCGACATGGCATCATTAAAGTAATCTGCAGATTGGTTTTATTAATCTCATTCAACAACCCCCAGAACCACTGTTGTGGGGTTGTAGAAGAGCATAAAGTTAATTAGAATGTGAGTATTTTATTGCACAATGAAATATGATTAAAATTTACATATTTTAATTGGCTCTCTGCCATCGCAGCTTAAAACCGACGAAAAAAACCAGCACAAAAGTACTTCAAAATTCTGTTCTCGAGAAGTGAATTTAACCAATAAACGTGTAACTTCTGGCATTTCAGATCTATAACCAGCACTTGGCTATAATTAGACTATGAGGATAATGTTTTCTCATCGGCGTGGGCTGTTATCGTTGCCCTTCATGGCAACTTTCCGCATTATCCTTTTGCCTTCGAGAAGCCACAGAGTTTAGCTGGGAAAATTCCCACAAAGTTCTTGTGCATCCGCAGTGGAATTCATCAATCACTGCACTTGGAGTATTATGAGACTAATTTCCTTCCGTGCGGAGGAAAGTTTTTCCGTGAAAAATCCTTCCCCGGCAACACACACAAAACATTTGTATACATCGCAAAACGTTAATGAAGTCCTTTGTCATGCAAAGGTGAGCGGAGATTACATGGAATGTAAGCCAATTAAATTACGTATAATAAATTCTAAATCTACACTACGACACGCTGCGAAGGGTGTTTTCCTGTGCTTCGCAGCTTTCGGTGCGTCAAAATAAATTGTCGACAAACGAATGGATGTCTTTTGTATCTGCCAACCATTGTTAAAGCATTTTTCCTCGCGCCAATTTGAGCTCCGGCACAATTGTGATTCATGGGGAAGAATTGAGCGACAAAGTCGGGGTGTAAAATTTTGTCAAAATGGTTCAAAGTTTTCAGATCTTTTCATAAATGAATAAATACTCATAGGCGTGAAAATAATGGTGTATAAAGCGATGATACGACAAGCTTTATAGCGTAAGAGTTTTTCACCCTCCCAGAATTTGCGATATAATTTACAAACTGCAAAAAAGTCAAACTCATCTGTTTCTTATTTCTAGGAAATCATTTATAAAAGCACTTTCAGGAAAAGATTCTTATGAAATGGAACTCGTCCACTGTTTGAAATTCAAGTCATGGGAAACCGAGAGAGAGAAAAACAATGAGCCTCTTTATGCCGGGCCAAGTTAAATGCTAAATTTATCATTAAAGTAGCATTTAACAATATTCGGCTTTATTTTAGTCCATGGCGTTGATACCGGGACACACGCGCTTAAACTGAAATCGAATCATGTTGCAACGCGACGCGCAGTCACGAATGACGTTCAGTGAAGATGTGTGTGAGAATTTGACAGCCCACACGCATGCGCCACCGCGCAGTTTGAGCCGACTTTTAAGTCATGTCGGACTAGCTTTAATATAAATGCTGCATTTATATTAAAGCCGACACGGCATAAAGAGGCTCAATGAGAAATTGACCAATTTTGTTATCCTATCTCATCTGTTTTCTTTATTCCCACACGAGTATAATTATCCTTAAAAAATATACCGAAATGTGAGCGTAATATAATGAATTCCGTACGTGGTTTCATCAGACTTTCATGACCTACAGACGAAACTATAACGATAATTTCAAGCAATGTCATTAAAGTGGGATTCCGAACAAAATGCTCAACATGCAATGAATGCCTGTAATACAATATCAAAGCACTCAAACGCTCCTCCGTGCCTTTTTAATGACCCCACAAACCCCAGGTATACAATGAATGAAACTGACGTACAAGAATTTTTATCCCCCCTCGGAGCTTTTCATGCACTCCACAGGGAGCTCCTTTTCACTCTATTAGGGAGTTTATGCGGCGGTAAGAAAATCCATTTCACCTTCGCATTTTTTTCCCCTCTCTTTGGCCAGAGAATCAATACCCGACAAATTACACATTTTTTCGCTCTCTCTCTCTTTGTAAAATAATAAACCTTTGCCGAAAAATGCGAAGCCCCGGAGTCTTTTTTCCAGCTGCCATTGTCAAATGAAATGAGTCCATGGTTAATTATTCATGAGGTGAAATGTAAAATAGAACGACGTCAAAACGACGCTGTTGCGGGAAATTTGCGATTCTTCTTGAAACACGCGGTGAAGTGCAAGATGAAAAAGGTTTTATACTTATTATGCACGTATCTTGTTGAAGGCAACTTAATTAGTGTCCCGGGAAATTTTATAACTTTACGAGAGGAGCACTTGCTCCTGTATAAGTGCAGAATAGCATCTCTTATAGTGCCATTGCAATTATTATTGCACATTTCATGATGGCAAGCATAAATGAGCTTCAAATATTAATTCGCGCAATATTGCGTCATGTTTTTCCTCCTTTTTTTGCACTACAACTTTGCTATTGACGACACAAGCAGATTTCAATATTAAGTATTTACTTGTTCAAATGCAATTCTCGCAAAATAAATGGGCTTTTTTGATTCATTTAATAATTTATGTGTACTTGTAGGGAATTAGTTGTGTTATTTTATGGCTACAATTCCGCATTGTTACGCTGATGGACATCAATTTAAAGCTGCATTGTTTAATAACCCAAAGGGGAGATAATGTGGTCAGAAGTGGTGTACAGATAAGAACAAGTTTTAGGAATTGGAAGAGTTTCAATTTTTGCAATATTTGATTCACAACATTGATATTCTGTTGATTTTTCTACGCTGAGAAATTAATTTTTATCAAAATAATAATTTTGAGATATTTTCCTAGTTATTTTTTGACTGATTTAAGACTAAATAATATCTTAAAGTAGAAATTTTTACACCTGAAATGAAAGTATTTTTACTTTATTTGTAAAATTGCGTATTTTCGGTATTTCATTCAATGAAAATCGTGAATTTAGAGAAAAAATGCTAAAGTCAAATTAACCCTCAATTTTCTTTTTCTAATAAACTGTTACAATTTTGAGTTATAAATAAGAAAGAAATTTTATCAAAAGATTAGAATAAAAAAAATTTGCATAAGTACAATTTTGGCAGAAGAAAATCATAAAATTTGTATAAAAACGTGAATTTGAAAGTTGTCAGTTAGATTCCAGTAATTTGTTAATTTTAGTCTTATTTTAACTGAAGTTTAAAGTCCTGGCAACTGTTAAGAAAGTGTCAGGAAGTGTTGTATAGATTTTAACCAAATTATCTCCCCCTTGTAATAATCCTATTAATAAATCAATAATTTTGTGACATTCTTTTTAAATAAAAAGCCTTGCAATATTGCAAATTAATGAATCAAATCAAAATTTGTAATTTATAAAAAAAAACAATAAAAAAAAATCTTGCATTATACTTTCATTTGATGTAACACTCATTGGTTATGGATTAAGCAAAAATACTCACATAAATTTACTTGTTTACATTACAGATGTATAAACGAATTTCCCCACCTTTTTTCCACCAATTTATACCACATTTTACCAATAGAGTCCCTCATCAATTACCCATTCCACGTTCAATTAATTATTTCTCAAGACCTCCCCATTACTCCGGCAAGACCTTTTTCACAGCGGTTTCACTGATAGTGAACACATGTGATTAAATTATGAGCCGATTGATTGAGGGTGAAGTGAATCAATAGGAAGACGTTCAATTGAATTAATACTCCCTGAGTGTCTGGAGAAGATCTTCAATTGCTCCTCCAACACCTCAATCAAGGAATGTTGTGTGACTGTTGCGCGTCTGAGGGTGGCATTTAAACAGGCACACAATTTCGCATTCTCGTCTCACACATCGAATTAATTAATCAACAATACATTTTCATTACGGCTGAGGCACGGCGTGTATCGACAGCAAAATCAATGCCATTTGTAACATCACGACGGACGGATGGTGAGAAAAGCTCTCTCGAGTGCGGCGGGACGAAATAGGTTTGTCAGATATGAACTTTCAACCCTTGAGCGGCACTCCACTGAATAACTCTCTCTCTCTCTCTCGATGTTATTCAATCAATGCCATGCGAAAGCAATTTTACCTGAATTGTGGCTGCTGATTGTGTTCGCTTTTGATGAATAATTGTTGTTAATTGAGTTGAAAAAGTTCGCGGCTCCCGTTCTTCGCAGAATCCAGAACATTTTGCTTCTTTTGCCGCTCACCGCGTCGCGGTTGGACTTCGTTGATTGAAATTTTTATTTTAGAAAAAGGGTAAACCGGCAATTTGCACACAAAATCGCACGATATACAAAAAGAATTTATCCAATTTCTCTCTTTCTTCACTTGTGAAAAAATACTTTCTAGTAAGTATCTCTGGCGGCAGGAATTGTTTTGGCGAATGAGAAACGCGGACAGAGAGGTGAAAAGTGTCTCGAAAGCTCGCGCGAGAGCTTTGCAGAGAACGCGTGGCTGCCTGCTCGTCAGGCGGCTCGGCTGAAACTGAACTGAGCATCGCCAAGCCAAACGTGAATCAGTGGCGAACGTCAGAGGAGAATCGCCGCGCAGTCCGCAACCAGTCGCACGTCTTCACTCACACCCGCCGCTCGCGCTCACTCTCACGCCCCCAACGCCCAACGCATCTGATATTTATGATTGCCACGGGGTGGAAGGGGTGCTTTTTCAAGTTTTCACGCAGTTTCGATAAGTCTGCGGCACTCTTCAATTCCCCGAAATTTTCCACATTCCACCCCCCATATTGTTCCCCATCTGCGCTCTCTGTTTGGCGACTCTCTCCTGTTGCTCCACACCAAGACTCTGACCCCTTTCACCCCCCTAATTCCACCTTTTCTTCGCAAGCTTCCGCGGTCACGGAATTTTGTAAAATAATTATCCGCAATTTCACAATGTGGAAATGAGTGGCGGAAAATTTGTTTCGCAGAAGTCTATGACAATTGTACAGGACATTTTATGTAAATCAAAGCATTTCTTATGGTCCAAGGGGGAGATAGTGCAGTCAGAAGTGATACACAACAGTAGAAGAATTGAAAAGTACCAATATTAAATTCTTAAGTGTTTCTTTAACTGCCAACTGACTCTGAATAATCAATTTTGAGTTCATTTACAAATCAAAAGAGCTCATTTTGATCATCTAAAAGCTTTTAAACAGAGTTTTTGAAGATCTCTTCGTGGTATTTTGAGGTTATGGTTGAAAAAATTGTCCAAAAAGAGCGTTTCTGATGGATTCTTACGGAAATAACAAATGGAAACTTAATAGATGTATTATTAGTTGCGAATTAGTGTGGAAAGAGTCTAAAAAATTCATGTGCTGGAAATGTTATACAGATTTAAGGGAATTATCTCCTCCTTGGAATTGATTATTCTTCCCAAGATTCTTCCATGACCTGTTCTAAAGTTTTGGACTCGTATCTTGAGGAATAAGAGAGTTTATTAATCTCAAATCGCACTCACATCTGAAGGTTCTAAAGTGTTTCAAAGACACTTGTCTCTGTTACGACACTCAATTCAAGTCTAATGTGGGCCTTATCGAGCAAAGTATCATTTCATTTAACTCACGGAGCACTGCACATTTTCTTGTTTACCCTCAGAGCTTTTACTTCCAACAATGAATGTTTAGTAGTTTGGATTCCGCTCGTATCCCATTCACTCGTCACTCCTGCCACGTGCCTTCGTATCCTTGTCATATTTCCGCACGTACCACTCATCGCGGAACTATCTCACTAGATACATCTATTAATAAAGCCCGACGATGTGATGGTAATGCAATGAGCAGAGGAAAATGCCTAAAATCTGTGAGGGTGTTTATGGCAAAGTTCGGATCATAAAATGCAAATTTCGTGGAAGGAATTGAATAGCACAAATTCACAAAATGTTTCGATCTCGGATAGACTTTCAAGAATAGCTTGAAGATTTTGGTGGAACGTGATAAATAAATTAATAATAACTTCACATCTTTGCTCTCCAGTCGAATTTCTTGGGAGTGTTTAAGCAATTTACAGACAATTCATTATAATCAATGATAAATTGCATAATTTATAGCATGAAAATTATGCATTTTCATGCTGATAAAACTATTCTAATTAAACACAAATTCAGATCACTGAACAAGTATCATTAAGTCTAATTTCATGTCTGAAAATTATAATTATAACTCCTCTTAAGTTTGATGAAAGTGTTGGTCTTGGAAAACTTGGCAAAGATAGGAAAATTGGATCAGTCAAACCGCAGATTCTTCGCTATTAGTTGAAATTCTTCAATCACAATCTCATTGCATGCAATATAGACGGAGAAAAACCACTGGAAATTCGGAACAAAAATGAAAAGTTGAATTAACTTTTCTGTTGGACAAGTCAAACAGACGCTGGACTGTTGAATAGTTCATGGTTGAGCGCCAGAAGTGTAATTTTCCATCCAGAAAACGAATGAATTTCATACTGAACTGCGTGGGAAGTAAGATTTTTTAGTTAAAAGCTCCATCAATAATTCACGCATTCTTCGCATGGAAAATTTGCCGGGAGGCTTCGGTATGAATTGTGACAATTAAATATTGAGTATTGATATGTCCTCGGAAATGGCGATGTAATTAATTGAGTGGGCGTCTGAAGTGGGTGATAAGATTGCTTGGAAACATATGTGAATGTTCCGGAATATTTGGTGTTTTGCCTTTTCTGTGCAGCACGCACATTTCATACACAACTCATGATTTGCCGCTGGGGACTTGTGGGCTCCTCTGGAACCTTTCAAAATCACGGATCATATTTCCAGGCCATTTGGAGCAATCCTGCTGCGCACATCCTCTTTAAACATCCCCGAGCTTTAAACGCCTCACATACAATCTAGCACTAAAACTCAATTATAATCATTTAAATTGATATTAATACGTTGTTTTCACAGAGAATTTGTGTTATGCAGAAAATTAATTCACACAATATGCTCCAAATAATTACTATAATATTGCTGAAGCATGAATTGATATGGAAAATGGTTAGTGCGGTCATCAGATGAGCAGTGGAAATTCAGGTGTCGAGCTGCGGTTAGCCTATATGTCTGCTGATGACTTGGAATTCTCGCTCTGGGGCGTTCAGAAAGTTTTCACGCATGTGACAGGCACTCTTGTCGCATGATGAAGCTCTTATTAACACTTGAAACATCTGCAGTTCAACCCGAAAGAGTGTTTTGCGGCGAGAGTGAAGTCTTCGAGACAAATCGATGCGGAACTCAATATTTCACGGACTTTGGTATCCAGTTACGCCAGGACTTGTCAAGAGCATTAAGGGATGGCGATGGAAGTGACATATTCTTCGAGGCAGTTTTTTCTCCCTCTCTCACTCCTCTCAGCCAAGTCCTTAATTGGCACTCGAGGAGCGCAACTCTCACAGCGTGAATGTGAAAATTTTAGAGTGTGCCGAGATTCACGGTGGCAGAAAGCATTTAATTCCGCTGAGAATTCACATAAAGTAGATTGTGAAAATATTTAGGGCTTCTCCGTTGGAATACTCAAGCCGTGTGGCTCAAGCTTTTCCTCTTCTTGGTGAGCAAAATGAGACGTACAATTGCTTACTTAATTGCACTCTTTTATTGTGACATGCCAAAGGGATTTAAAAAGCACTTCCGCTAACACTGAATGATTAAAGTAATTCGGAGAAATTATTTCTAGCTAAAGATTGAGAGGGAGCGATTCCCACTCAATCAAGCAATGTTAAAAATGTGTTATTTTCTTTCAAACGGTCGATTGCTATTCTAAGTCACACATGTAAGGGTTAAAATGGCGGTTGTGTTAGAAATTCACCACGTGTGTTAAGAAATTCACCACTTGTGTTATTTACTATTCCGGCTCACACACATCATAAACCAATTTGTACCGCCTGAAAACATGTTTTTGACACGAAAATATATATTGAGGGGTATTTTTCATTTGGATTGTTAAACTTTTACATGTGTGAAGTTTAACATTCGAATTTGACTGGGAATCGCTCCAATAATTTCAGGAAAAAAAATGGCTTATAAAGAATTCCGCATAGTTAAAATTACACAATGTTGGCCATGTTAGTACAATTTCTACATACAAATGAGTGTTTCTGCTATATTGTAGATACGAAAAGTTTCCTTCGGGGCAAAAGAGAATTGTGAAATGCGCCAGACACGAGAATTCACATAGACAATTGCTTGAGAATCACCATTTTTATTGCATTTGAAGGTTTTTTTTACGTTTGAGGAAGAGCAGAGTTTTTTCCACTCCGGCTCAAGACATCGTGGCGCGCGAAGGCAAAAAGACAATCCATGATGAAATTATGCCCCGCCTCCGAGATGGTGATTGGGCTCCACGATGGTTTCTCGTAAATTATCACGCCACTCAACTGAAAATGTCTTGAGATGTACTATTGTGCGGTCTGCGGTCTCGTCGAGATCTCATCTCATGCGGGAATTAATTACACACACTCGGATTCATGTTTCTGACCACGGAGAGCACACACAATCACACGATTCCTTCGGCATTCCACCTTCCAATGAGCGCGCACAACTGCGCCAGTGTTGATCTTAGGAAAAGAGATTTTTCTGGTGGCGCAAAAGGAAGGAAATTAGCGCTATGCAAAGTGGATATAATTACAGGCATTGTTCGAGTCCTTAATCATGCTCTGGAAGTGAATCCAGACGGAATCGTGCCCTCTCTTCATGCCAACCATTTACGGTGAGATCTGCTAAAGTCTGTCATAATGAGACTTTTTACCAAGGGTGAGATAATACGACTAAACTGTGTACATCACTTCCTAACATTTCCACAATGTATGTGGAAAAAATCACAGACACTTTTAGAACTCTGGCAATGCTTAAAACACGCGTTTTAAGCATTAAATCGAAAATGTGCTGAAATTTCCTACTTTAGAGGAGAGAATCAATCAATTTTAGAGGTTATGATCAATTATAGCAAAATTTACACCAGTTTAACATTGAAAGCTTGTATTTAACAGTAAATTATACCAACTTAGGTGCAGAAATGAATGATTTTTGAAGATATTTAGTGGAAAAGTTTGTCTTAAATTCATAACATAACCTAGAAAAACGTTAAAAAAAACATTCATTTCTTCCAAGTCTTGCGTTAATTCCTTTTGAAACTAACATTTGAAGGCATTTTATTGAAAATATTGAAACACTTCCACTTAACTGCACATCACTTCTGGCGATAATATCTTCCCCTTGCTTTTTACACACGACTCACTGTTCTCGTGAATGAATTAGCAGAACATAACAGTTGAGGACACAATTTGTGCTTCATCTTCTCTCGCGTGAGTTTTCTTTAAATGTGTTTCAGCACATTTTTCTCCTCACTGTTTATCAACCCGCAGATTTCCTCTATATATGTGTATATTTTCCTCGTCCAGGAATGACGATGAATCTGTTTTTTCCGCCTTTTTCGGTGGGTTCGAGCGCGCGAGATGAGAAAAGAAGTGAAAGTCAATGGAATTAGAGATGGGATTATATAACGCAAATTTCGTTTTTTTTTTCATTTCGGAGGTCTCACAATATTTTAATTAAAATTCATTGTGGCGTTGATACTGTTTTGCTGGAATCTCTGTGTGTTTTTTTATTCGAGGCGCTCTTCTCCTTCGAAACACTCGCCCAGCAGAGGAGTTTGCTGGGCTTGCGAAGGACTTTGATGTGTGCCGATGATTATCTTCTGGGCTCTGAGCGCAGTAAATCCAAACCAAATGGCATAGAAGTCGACGCATGATGAGTTTCCCTCTCACAATATTTATCATTGCATATGCGGATTGGATTAATTTTTTTCTTCCGCCATGCAAAATACATAAGAGATAATTTCTGATTAATAACACGCATCGGACAAAAAAATGCGATATAAGAGTGAATTTTTGTGAAAAGAGAGCCGCGCGATAGCACAATTTGCAAATTAAATAGTCTCTCGTCGTATCGCAATGTTTGTCTTCTCCGGGGAGTCTTTTGAGAGTATTCTCTGCAGCTTATATGATATATGGAATTATTATTGTGATTTCTCTGTCGATTCTCTAGAGCGAGAAGAGAAGGACGAGAGAGAGAGAGAGAGACGTCCAGTGTGGAGCAATTTCGTGATATTAAACAGACACAGAGAGTGTCTGCAATCGAATCAATCTCGACAGGAAGTGCATTATGGATCGTTTGCTTCGCTTCCGATTTGATTCTGTGCCTTCTCTGCCACCCGTTCACATATAATAAAATCAATATCATCCCTTAATCTCTGACTTTTATCACACGCACACACACCCAAAGACACCTCATCGAACTAAGTGGAGATATTACAAGGCCGGAAGGGAATTTTTTTTCCTCCACTTTCTCACTCTCAAGACGATTTCAATTGGGAGAAAATGGAAATATTAAATTTTTCCCTTCACTCAAGTTGAAAATACAGCATTTGCGTTTTGGGGATAACGAAGAAATTCTTCTCCAATGCCAAATATTCTGTGGGAAGAGAGCATTAACACGCACTTTTCATCACTCTTTGGTCTCAATCTGGGCGACGAAGGTGTGTGTGTGTGAAGTGTTTGCTTTAAGCCAATGTCTGAAGGGAAAAGAAGCCCACGTTGGAGTTGAGTTGTCGTCTGGGGCATTTTAAATACTCCACGGTAAAGTTTTTCTCATCAAATTTGCCCCGTTTGGAGGGAAAACTCAAAAATTCTCCTCAAGTTTGCCATCCGAGGAAAAAGAACTCACGGCAGAGCAATTAAATTAATTACTCGTAATAGTACAAAGTAGTTCTTTCTTATTCTTCTCGGGAAAGAATATTGCTCGTGTACGAAGTTTTCTCATGAGAAAACTCATAGTAAAAGAGATTTTGTGCTTGGAAAATTGTCCTCAGGAAATTACATCTTGCAAGATTCTCTATCAAAATTGTATAACAATTGAGAAATGACGGAAATTACAAAGGAAATTCCGACAAATTCATTCTTTTCTGTGTTGCATCAAATCATTCTTATGTTGAGAAAGAGCGAATTTTTGTTCTGACTTCAGGCTCTTTAGCATGAATGCAATAAAAATTGCAGGAATTTAAAGAATATAGAAAAATCACAAATTCAGTTGTGAAGATAGAAAAAGAAACTCAACAGCTTTAATATGACACTTAGTCAGTCTAAGTTGATTAGTAATTGAGTTGTAAAAGTTTTGCAAGAAGATTAGCTTTCCAATTTCGGAGAATAAACAGTGACTTCAAATCAAATAAGGCCACTTGGAGACATCTTAGGGAACAATTCTTAGTAGATCTTAAATATGAAAATCTACAGGACATTTATCCTGAAGACACCATAAATTAAGAACCCAAAACATATGGAAATGGAAGAAAATTCAAAGAATTCTTCCTTTGAATACAACAATTCAATTCGGATTAGGCAGAATATCTTCAAATTCTGCACGGTAAATCCTTATTAATTAGGGTAGATTTGTGGAAAAATACAAACCAGTCGCAGTGCTTCAGGTGGCCCTATTTGATTTGGAGTCACTGTAGTGCCAAAAATCAAATACGTGAAATTCAGTTCCGAGAACAATGACTAAGTCAAAATGACTCTTCGGCACGATGATGAGTTCGGGGATCTATAATTGAGATCATGCTCATCCGATAGTCTCAATCTAATCTCCGCAATATACTGCATCTGCAGGGAGAGCGGAGAGTATCCTTGAGAGACTCCTGCAAGTGCTGTCGCAGCATTTATCGATGAACTTCATCGAGATAAGTCGATGATGCAATTTATCTGCACCATTGTATCTTCATCCCTTGCGGTGGTGCTTCGAAGTTTGCTGAGCACTATATCGGATTTCCAGCAGCACATCCGAAACAATTAAACAGCGAGTAATTCTTGAATGCAGCATTTTGTGTATAGGTTCAATTTCATGCGAGTGGCGCTTCTGGAGAGCAATTTATTTGCAAAATGTGTACAGAGTTTGTGAAGTATTTTGATTGAAAATGTTAGTCTATCGCAAAATATATTTCAGTACGATGTGAATTATATATTTTGGTAGTTGTTCCATGCAGAACGGGAGAATCAATTGTCGAGCTGCTCATCAGCGACTGGGAGATGCTGATGGAGTTTGTGTTGAAATGCAGCGACGAGAAGGGATGCCAATAAATATTCTTGATGGGCAAACTTTATAGTGCATAATCACTTGATGCATAAATTAAACCATCTCACACTCTTCTGGCTTTATCAACATTCTCTGGGTGATGCTCCTCTTGAATCCCGCGCGTCTTCCGCCCGCCTCGAAATGCGCCCGTCAAATGGAAGACGCGCGCGATGTGTGTGTCTTCAGGTCCATCATATTCAACATGTGGTAAATTTTTCCAGCACATAGGCACTGTTATCTGCGTCTTAACGGCTCTGTTGGATCAAATTGACGCTTTTTACAAACAACACACTTCATTCATCGGCAGACCTCAGTCTCGAAGGCAGTCGCTCAGAGGCAGTCTTGCTCGAGATCTCGCCGAGTTGAGCCAGATCTTCGGACCTCCACTTTGAGCGCTTTCTCTCTCAATCTTCGCGCGAGGCTGCGAAGAAGGCGCAGTCAATAAATATCAATTACTGTCTTGGCGCGCAAAGAAGATTTGCCCGGGATTTTCCGCCACCCTTCGTGGCTCATGTCATGTGTATCGCTTCACCCCGAGTGATTCAATTAATCGCGTCCAATTGCTTCCTGGCGAGGAATTCCGCTCTTCCTCGTCCAGACAATGTGAAAATTGGCCTCGCCGGAACGAGCCAATAGTGTCAGAGTGAGTGAGACGCAGACAATTCGAGCCCTCGTCCCTGATTAACCACCCCCGCAGCCATGGATCTCGGGGATGTGAATGCGAGCAATGAAGTGCAAGACGCCAAAATCAATGGTGCCAAAATCTCCGCCACCACTTCGGCCGATGGTGAGTCGCAGAAGGACAAAACGAAGGAGGATTTAATCGACGAAGCGGCAATGATGATCCTCAATGGGGAGGACTTTACACTCGAGCCAACTACCACCAAGTGAGTATTTTCCACCTTTATTTCCACACCATTTGCCCCGTGTTAAAGGTTCAAGCGATGGTGCAATGGAAATTGATTTTCCATTTTTTATACCGCGCCAAAATTCTCGGGAATTTTTAATTAAGAAAACCACCATCGACGGTCGTAAATATTTAATCTTTTGTACCTGCAATTTAAATTGCAACTCTGTACGAGAGACTATTGATTTTTCCCATTTTTCAGCACAATTCTCTCGCTCTCTATCGTGAGAAAAAGGGGTGTGCAATTGAGGGTGGTTCATTCTGGTATTTTACTAATGATAATCAACAATTATAAGTTGAATATCAAGAAGATTAATGAGCTAAAAATGCTGTAAACTTATAGCGTATTTTGTCTATTTTCTTTCCCATTTCTTCCCAATGAAAAAAAAAACACTACTGATTCACCCTCGGAACAAAACCCTGAAGTATCTCATTTAAATGTATTTTTTAATGACATACACTAGTATAAATATTTCAGGGCGCGATGGGGAATGTATTTTATGGATCTGCAGAGAATTTGGCAGAAGTTTTCCCTGTATTTCCGGAGAACTTCTCCAAGTTTCTGGCGGAGAATTTCTCTGGCAATATAAATTTTTAAGCCACACGCTGTTTGTCTTTCACCCCGATTCCACCATGATAAAAGGGTGCTCTCGAGATTACATATGTTCTCACGGATAGCTCGAAACCTGCCACGGCAATAGATCTAAGCAGCGGAATTCACTTTTCCCCGCGCAGAACCCACGGAAAAGAATGTTACGTTGGAAGGGGACACGATATCAGGAAAGTCGTGAATTTCCCGCTCATATTTTATTGCACGTGTGTTCCTGTCTGCACGGAGTGATAAGTGGTTCGTCTGAGAGCTTGTGAGCGCCCACAGTTGACGCCAGAGACGGGTATTTGATTAGGGGAGGCCAAGTTGGTGGTGTCTCAATTCACAGGAGATGCAAATAAGGAAATTGTGTGTATTTCACGTGGGACACGGCCTGCAACGGAGAGCACAGATTGTGTGGCGTGCCTGGAGGATGCATGTGCCCTCGCGGATGACAATTTTATCAGCCACAATCCATATTTGCTGAGGTGCCGCGGGAGAACACGACCCTGAGAGAGTTCTTATTTGTAGTGCCGTGACTGTGCAGCACCGCGAGCGATGCCAGAGAATGTTAAACATTGCGCTGCTTTCGTGAAAATTGCCATTTTATTGTATCGATTTATGTGTTTAGTTTAAACCTTGCGTACAAATATTGCATTATTATTGTTCGATATTACAAAGAAAAAAGATGTGCAAAAAAATCAAACAGAACATTTTTCTTTTCATCTTTTCTAGACGAATTTCATCGGTTTTTCTTCACACAAGTCAAGTCATGCGAAGAAATTTTAATATATTCTAGGCATAATTGTTTTTTTTTGGTTATGTGCCTTATATAAGCCAAACTCAGCGTAATTAACTTAATTTAAACATTATTCTTATGCATAAAAATCGAACATAACCTCAAGAATACTATTTCAAATTAGAAGAATGTCTTTTGAATAGTTTTTCTGCTGTTTCTTAGGCGAAATCTTAGGAAATCATTGACTTTCAACTTGAAAAAGCTCTTTTATTCAGTATTCAAGTCCTTTTCATGAGAATAAAATTGAGAATAACAGGATTATTCGCAGAATAGTTCAATTGTTGGAGTTTTTAATCAATATTATGATGATAAATCAAGGAAGAAATGCAATTGAAACAGCGGATGAAGTCTGAGAGTATTCTGGAAGAAAAGTGGCGCACAGATCTTAGCCACGAATAGTGGTTTTATGAAATAGATGAAATATTTCACTAATATATTTCTCTCAAGCATTGTGAGGACTTTGGAATCTCCTCGACACGTTCCCAAATTGTGTTACAGACGTCATGAGATATTTCTTCTAGACATGCTTTAAGGGATGGCACTTAAGCTGTGCATATAGCTTCGATGAAATTGCAATGAAGTGCAAAGAAGGGGGAAAATTCAATTAATGTTCATGAACTATTAGGAGCAGAGCGATATAGTGTTGGAAGTTCTTTGGTGCAATTTTCTCTTTTATTTCAAATTGTCTCCTACCATTGCTATATATTGTGTGTTATTAATGGAGAACGCTGGGCAAGAGTTGAATGAATAAAGTCAACTTTATAGCATGAGTTGTATAATAATGTTGAGTATCGAGAGGCTGAACCCGAAGGGATGTAGTTGAAATATGCAATAAATTCCTTCATGCCCCGCAAGACGAGGATGGCGTGTGTGTTGTATGGGAAAGTTATCCTTTCGAGATCAAATGAGAGTTTATTGGTGTTTGACCTGCTCATTTATCTTCATATAAACAGAAAGTTTCATAATATATATCGCAAGGTATGGAGCAATATTTCAACCTCATCTGTCGGTTGAAATGTACATCAAACTTGAAAAGCTCTTCATCTCATGTACAAATTGGTCTTTTGAGAAGCTAAACTAAGTCAGTCACCCTCACTATCACCACCTTTAAGCTGAGGCTAGAATTACGCAAGACTTCTAACTAACACTTAATTCGCCATCACTGGGAGAAAATCATTCACGTCTACGACATTATAATTAGACAAGAACTCCCCTTAACTCACTCTAGCTCAGATTTATGGGGGCTCCTTTGCCGTGCAATCCCGCCAAAGACAGGGTATTTAGAGCCACTGAAGCACGGATGAAAGGTGAGTGAAGCCAACAGTGAAATAATCTATTTTTCCCATGCTTCATGTACTATGTAAACACAATGCGAAGGATTTCAGCGCTTCGTGAGTACATCTTCTCGTGGTGCATTTTATGATGCTGGCGTAGAAATCTGTGAATGGATGAGACAAAGGCGCGCTGAAAACATTTCATTCATTCAAACACTTTTATGAATAAAAAACCGCATCGACAGAGACGGAAATCAATAGTGGGGAATTTGGTGGGAGAAATTTTAATATATGGAAAAATATCAGTTTTGAACCTCAGAATTCTCTCAGAATGAAAGAAGCGGAAGTCACAGCTATAGGAATTCGTAGAGAAATTGAGAAAGTCTTGCAAGATCATCACTGGCAATGCCTAATCACTAATGCCACAGCCTCTTCGTGAATCAGAGATGCCCAGAACTGTAAAGCACATTGTGACTTTGTGGATTGCAGACGACGAAATTGAAAAGTTCAACACTGGTTGGAGTCTTTTTACATACAAGAAAATATCCGATTTACTCGTGTGATTGGGAGTTTCTGCTGTGACCACTTTAGAGACTTCTTCCCCCCTTCTTCTGAGAGTGTCTTTTATTTGGTTGGAATTGTACATCGAGAACTTACTAATTCCTCATCCGTCAAGAGAATGCCACATCCGCGGATTGATTCGATTTCTTCGCACCGCGCCTTGTCTCCGTCTATTTAGCACCATCCCGCTAAATAGATGCTTTTAATATGTTCACCGATTTTTATTTTATTCTCCATACCTATGCATAATATTTTTTTCATCACCTTTTTATTACACATATTGGATTTTTTCATCTTCCCCATTCTTGGTGTCGCTCATATAAGGCGCATAAATATGGGAGGCGCGCACGCACTTTTCGAAAAAACTACACAAACTGTCTGTTTGCCGTATTCATCGTCATTTCAACTCCACATCTCAACTCTCCTGTTTGGTTTTAAAATGTTTTTCCGTGAAGGGGCGCATATTTGCTCTTTCCTTGTATCTTGAGCATAAGCAGAAAATGCCTCAGCATACAGCTCGTGCTATATATGATGGTTTACAGATTTTACAGTGATTTCGCACAGAAAATGCCAAATTGATAGAATACACATCACACAGGGTCGTTCGTGGAGTTTGTTGCCCAAATTCAGAGACTCACTAATCAGGAGAAATATGTTGACTTAATGAGTTCACGAAGCTACACTTGAGTATCCAAGATTTTCCCACATGAAGTTGCGCACTATAAAGTGCTTGGCTGCAGTATTTCTGACTACTTCTGTGCCTCTGTTGTGCCGCACTTGTCAAGGTGGAAAGAGACGGATCTGGAGGAAATTGGTGGAGATTGAGTTTTACTAACCAAATAAATATTTGCAATAAAGACGGTCTGCTGAGGAATATTATATCCACCTGCAAACTATCGATTTGTCGGCTCGACACAGAGTTGCGTACACAGCAAGGGAGAGAAAATATGGTCACAAGTGGTGTACAGATCTGCAGAAGTCATAGGAAGTGGAAGTGTTTTAATTTATGCAATAATTTCGCATATTTGCTCAATGAAAATCGTAATTTTGGAAGCTGGAGTGTTAAAGAAACGATTCCAAAAACATAACCTAATTTTTGTACCAAACAGGTGCAATTTTCAGTCAGAAAGATTCTAGTCGATATTTCTAAAGAATATTTAATCCTAATTTAAGGATTATGATCTCGAAAAATCTTCAAAAGTGTCACTTTAACTGAAGAAACTCATGAAATATTGCATGAAAACGTTAGTTTTATAAATTTCAGTCATCATTTTGACATATATTTTCTAAGTGCCCATTTAGGAACGGAAAGGGAGTTTAAATTAGAAATTCTTTGACTGAAAAGGAAATTAGGCGTATTCACTCATTTCTTCTCAGAATAAAAGCTGAGTGTTAAAGAATAGTAGAAAACATTAAAAATAACCTCAAATTTTCACTTCAAAATAACAAATTTGGAGCTAAAAATCATCAAATATTCTATTAAAATTCCTTACAAAAGGATGCTCAATTAGCTTTTAGTCGTAAGAAATGTTAAGGATTTTCCGTACACGCTATGGAAGTGTCAGGAAGTGGTGTACAGCTTTTAGCCATATTATTCTCTCCTTGGTGCGGAGGATGCGGTGATTGATGGGAAACGGAAAATTGTTTGAGAAGGATGCGGAGAAAATTGCTACACAAGAACGGTCGGTGATGGCCGAATTTTGTGAAAGGAAGTTACCTCAATGACTCAATTTTCTCGCCCCCTCGCATGCCAAAGA